AGAAAATGGATATTCCCATTAGATCTACCTGCTAGGAATACAGATACTTTTCATGAATGCCCTAATACCGTGTTCCAGCTCTTTCTGAAAGGACAGAACAGGAGCGCTCCTTTTCCAGCCATCATTTCTCCAGGCAGACCACGTTTTCATCCTGCAGCTGTATTTTAGCACTGTTATAACTGATCACCTCCTCCAGGTTAAACCTGCAAAGGCATCCCAAATCAAGTATTGAAACGATAGCAAAAAAATTCCCCTAACTCCTTAAAGTTAATGATGATCTTCATTTTCATTTTCCACATATTTCTCTCCTTGTAATAGCCATGTGCTAAATCTTCATGGGATTTTTATAGTTTCACTGAAGGAATATTTGCATAATTATTAGCACATAATCTGCTTTAATGGTCCAACTGATTTTACTGTTACAGGTAAATGTATGTGGTGTCAAATTTAAGCATATAAAGTTCTCGACAGTTCCTGGGCAAATTCCCTGTCTGCTGGGAAGAAGCGTGCCCGTAGCTGTGCTAGCTGCAGGGGGAAGAACATCACTGTGCCGGGCTGGACCCAGTGCGATGGGGTGCAGGGCGCAGGGCTCACCCTGCCCTGAAGGAGCAGCAGAAAGGATCCCATTGACTTTTGCTAGCTGTTCCTGGGGAGTAAAAGCCACAGCAGAGCCCCACGTCCCCTGGTACCACTGTGCAAGGCAGGACCTGCACCTGGGGCTGCTCCCCCAGCACATGGGCAGCTCCAGCAGGGGATGTGGGACACCAAGACCCCCAAAATCCACTCTTGTACCACATGGGACAAGCACATCTCCCACAGACACACACCTCAACCCCAATGCTACCAGGGGTTGCAGCTACTGCATGCCACTGGGTCCTACACCCTGCCGGACACAGCCCCTGGGATCCCTCCATAGTGCTTGGCTTTGGGGATTTAGGAGCAGGAGCCAATGGAAAACTGCAGGCTCAGAGCTGCGGGAGGCTTTGGAGGCAGTGGAGCAGGGTCTGGCCTCCTGCTCGCCCATTTTGGAATCTTCCTCCATGGGAATGACGTGGAAATATATAAAAAGGATCTGCTAAAATAAGAGGAGGGAGGTGTGGGGATGGTGTGATGACAGCAGCTATATAGAGAGGCAGCACAGAATTTCTGAGGGAAAGCATCAAGCTCCTGCTATTTTCCAACCGGATCATACCCCTCTATGAAATGTCATTGCGGGAATTTTTTATAGACTGTTCTAATAGATACTGATAAATGTTTTTCACCTTAGGGCTTGTCAGGAACAGACGTGATTGATGCTATCTTCAGAAGCAGATGGAAACGTTCAGTGTGGTATCTGCCAGCACGATGGATCACAACAATGGTCCAAAGCTGATCTGTGTGAAACGTTTCAAAAACAGCATTTCCAGCTCCTGCAGGAGCAGATGAGGTTGAACTCGCTCCTCTGCAGGAAAGAGCCTTTGGACTTGTAAAATCTGGGAAATAAATAAGAAAAGCGAGGAATCCCCCCAGAACGCCGGCAGGAGTGGGGAGCTAGCACAGCCTTGGGGCAAACTGCGGCTTCTGGAGGCGTTGCCATGCAATTATTTAATTACTTAATAAAAGTACTACATGTGTTAACTGAGAATGCCTCTTTGATCCCAGGTCCAAGCTCAAGCCCAAAATTAAGCTCTTAATGCCTTATCAACAGCAGAGATTTGAGTGTAAAATCTGCTCTTTAATTGCTATATTAAATTAACTTTCCTTACCTATTTTCAGATGGAAGCTCAATGTTTTCACACAGCTCTGGACAAGCAGAAGACCTTCAAGTGGGGTTAGCTGAACGTTCTGTTTCCATTTTCACTGACATCCAGTGGAAGGGGAAATGTGGCCACTTCTACTTGGATGAAGCCATTCTAATAATGAGCATCTTTGTGTCTGTTGCATTACCTGTGTGCTCTGGGGAGCTCAGCTTCCCGAAGCACTGCACAGTATTCCCCATGTCTTGCTCCCTGGGAGCTAACACCATTCACTGTGATCCTTTCAGCCCCATGCAGGCAACAACAGCACAATTTGTGATTTATGTTTTGCCAGGACCTGTCGGACTGATAGCGTTGGCTGTTGCTGTCATTGCCCACACTGGGCACGCTGCAGTGTTTGCAGCAGTTCTGGTGGTACCTGTGTTCCACACCAGGAGCTGAAGAGCCGTGCAGAGCAAGGCTGGGGTTCCGCTGACTGCTCCTGGCACATGGCGACAGCTCCTGCAGCTCCATGATCTCTCACTTGGAGCTCGAGATGCAATGGTGCTGCCCGCCCCGGGCTCACGTTCTACACACAATGTGCTTACCTTTCACATCCCCCAAATAAGGAGATAAAGGTCATACACACATCTGAGGCTTCATTTGCGCTCCTCTGCAGGGGGGCAATAAAGTGCCTCATCAAACATTCTGGGCATCGAGCAGTGCTCAGTGCACCCAAGTGGGGCAGGAATGTTTTGCTCCAGGGTTCCCTCTGCTCCCATCCCACCCAGCAGGGACTGGGGCCCCTTCCTGGGGGCTTCAAGGAACATTTGAGGCATGGAAGAGAAAAACAGCCCCTGCAAAAGGGAGCCTTGACCTGCTCGGCTGCCTGGGCTGCCTCCAAGGGCTCTGCCTCCCCATGGGACTACGAGACCTGACAGTGAAGGGGATGGTGCAGCGATGGGGGCTGCCATTTGGTCCATGGAAACCACCACCATCAGGATGTGGAAAATTTGGCCTTTTTGTCTCTGGCAGACAAATGATCCACGTCCTCCTTTGTAAAGGATGCAGCTGTAAGAACTTAGGAAATAACTTCTGGATGGATAAATTTATTGGTGCAATTTGGTTTTACATGGTGAAAACGGCGTGTTTATAAAATATTTATAGAGTTTTCCTTCGCGGTGATGGAGCAGGAACCAGTTAAACAATGCGTGGGTCTTCATTAGCAGTGTCTCACACGCAGGTTTGTTTTCTGTCTCGTCTTGTCCCTTCATTAAGTTGGCCCTTGTGAGAAATTGGCCCAGATCATTAATTAATAATTACCTCTTCTGTGTAAAAATCAGATGCCTCAACTTAGCACTACTGGTTATGAATTCAAGATTATGCATGAACCTGTATGCGTTTCTCTGCTCCATATTTAAGTCATTCCACTATTCATCCAAAACCTCATCAGAACAGATAATAAACCACTTCATGAACAGATGTGCCACTTATTCATCTAGTTCTATAATGATAATGAAGAAAATTTAATCTGGAGTGTCTATGGAAGATGATCTGAAAGACAGATTGGTATGAATAATAAAGACACTACACAAACCGTTTAAGAACTGACATAAGAGGCGATCATTAACTACTCAACAATGCTGCCTTTGATGTAGCCCAACAGTGTATAAAAACAAGCACCTCTTGGGTGTTGGACTCCACAAGGAGCTACTGTTTTGCAGATGTAAATGCTTGAAATTGCTTTTACTTTAAAGAAGTACAAAAGATAATTCCCGTTACAGCTGTAAGCAACATCTGACATTGCAGAACACTGAAAACACACTGAAGAGAGGCTGGAGGCTTCAGGAGCACTCAAGGTGAGTGGGATAACGCACAGAGCTGAATGTCTATTCAGAAAATAAGAAAATGCAGAACAAGGGGAAATTTATGAGGCCAACTTGCTCCAAAGAGCCATTTACCTCTCATTAGCTAGATATATATTTATCTGTTTCCTCATATATGATACTATTGATTCCTGTCAATAGCAAAAAACACCCACAGAATGCAGTAGAGGCAGGAGACACTTATTGTAGCTGAATATTTGCAAAGCTTTAATGGAGCTGCACAGCTCCGTGATTCTTGATGACAGTCAAAAAGATCATATAAAATCCCCAAAGTGTCTTTGGAGAAGCAAAGCCATTGCAGTCAACGCTGGGGGAATGTCCTGGATTGACACCGTCATCTATTTATTCCCAAAGCAAGAAAAGCACAAACTGCGCAGGGTAAGCCTCCAAGTGACACACCAAAAAAACCCAGAGGCTGCTTGGAGGATGGGGCAGGGAAGAGGAGATCACCATGATGTCCATGAAGTGCCCCTTACCCAGACCTTTACCCTGGCCACACATTCATTAAACACACACTGTTCATCATGAGCACATCAAGAAGACCAGGAGGAAACCCACCCTTTGCTTCTGGGGAGGACAAATGAGGAGACCTCATTTCATATTTGGGTGACATGGATCAGTGTGAGGTGTCCCTGCCCAGGGCAGGGGGGTTGGAAACTGATGACCTTAAGGTCCTTTCCAACCCTAACTATTCTATGATTCTATGGTATATTCATCACTGCTTTGACCTTCTTGTGTGACGTGCAGGACACTGTCCTTGCCCGAGGGCTCTGTCTCTGTGTGTTCCCTTGTGTGGTGCCCCCCATGGCCTCAACTGACAGAGCTGAAGTTATTCCCTCTAGAAAGTGACCCTGAGAGGAAACAGCCCCATAACAGTAAATCTTTTTCTTAACAGTTTGTCAACAAAGCAGCACAGCTTTTAGCACCAGAAATATTGCCAGCCTCTTCCAGCATCTGTCACAACAGCAGCAGCCGACACTGCCACAAATTCTGGGTTAAGGAGACGGGAATGAAATGGGCTTGTGAGGGCAGTGTGGAAACCTCGCTTCTCCTCTGTGCAAAGGCCTTGAGTCTGAGCCAGCAGCAGCACTCAAGGGTAGGGATCCAGCCCGTACATGTGGGTCTCACTTTGCCATGGGACCGGGCTCCGTGACTGCAGTAAGCAGGGGCTGCTAAGGCAGATTTTTTTTCACTTTGTTGCTTCCTCACCAAATTTGGGGTCAAACCCTGGTTTGTGAGCTTTCCTTCGGTTTTCCTACTGATTCTGGTGAAGCTACGGCTCCCTTTAATTAGCTCAGCTGCCACATTCTAGGCTCAGGGTGTAGCACTTGCTCTAGCTGCTTACCGCAGCAGAGGACATACAGTACCTGCGTGTGGGAGCACAAATAAACCAAGAGTTCAGCCATCAGCGTTTGCTGTGGCAGCACCCAAAGTTATCAGCCGGTCCAGAGTCCCATTTGCTTGATACCATCTGTGCTTGCACCTGTCTCTTGGCCAGGAAAAGCCACTGGGGTTCCAGGTCTGCCTCCTTCAGTCCCATGCTGGTTGAGGTACAGGTCACCATTCAACAACAGTGGTCCCAGATCACAGTGGGGGCTTGAGAGTTTTTAAACCCAAGAGAGAGACAAGTAGGAAAGCCATTACCTGGGACCACTTGATGCTCCTTGACCCAAGCAAAGTGCACTGTCCCCAGCCAGGAGCACCTAACTCAAGTTATTGGAGATGTGAGGAGCCACCAGCGTTTCTCAGTTTCCTTGGTGATCACTGTCAGATCTGAAACACAAAAATAAAATGAAAAGTCTGTCAGAATTAGTTCTATACATTCACACGAATTATGTACCTTTCTAACAGGTAGCTTTTCATGGAGCAGATTTCCATCCTTTTTCCTAGGTCACTGCTTCTCAAAGACTAGAATGAACTGGTCAAAAGACAAGTATTTAATCTTGTAGTGATAGAGCAGACATTTTAGTAGTGAGATTGGTTTATTCTTAGGCTACTTTCCATAAAGTATATACATCTTCCCAAGGCTGAGCAGCCTAAAGCAATTTGTCTACGAGAATGACCCTGAGACTAGTTAAAGTTCATAAGGTGCGACATGAGTCACGATTAGAAAATGACAGAACTACTCCTCTCAATGGCACGAGGTGAAAATTCAACAGCAAATTGGTATGGAATATTATGACCCAAACTAAATCAGGGATGAGTAGGTGAGGAATTACAGTTGTTGCTCATTTGGGAAGCGAATGTGAGACTACGTATTTTGAGTGCTCAAGAGGAAATCTGGTATCTTTGGTAACATAAGGATATAAAGGAAGAACATCTGAATGGTTTCCATTTATTACTGTAGTCATGGTACTTGAAAAGCAATGAATAATCCCGGAAAGCATCTTAAGGACTTCACTTTCAAAGTGCTGATGGCTCAAGAGCGAAGGGTCCGTTGGTCCAGCAGCCACCCCAGACACAGCAGAGCAGAGTGGGGAGCCGTGGGGATCCAGGCTCTGCTCCTGCTGAGTGCAGGGTGTGGGCAGGCTCCACAGAACCACCCTGTAAAACCCTCGCAGTGCAGGCACAGAGCAAGCAAATGCAGCCACTGATCAAGTCTGCACTCTGATGGATTACACACAATCTTAAATATTATAGGAGAAAGTATTTCATCCAGACAGGAAACTTTAAGCAGGACACAACAGACATTTTTCTTACAATATTAACAATTTACCATCTGAACTTTATCTTCTCTGTGGATAATAACCACTAGACACTGGGTAAAGGAACAATTGATTTAAGATCTCAATCAAAGGAAAGCATTCCTCTTATCTGTATAGCCAAGCAATGAAGTAACAGTCATCTGGGGTTATTGTACATTTGTCAGGTCATTAAAAGCATGGGCTCAAGATCTATATACGGGATGTAAGACATTTGTGGAAATGACTCTTACAAAAATCTTTACTGGTTAAGAGCCTGCAATCTCTGCCTGTCCTTTCCTTGCCACAAAAAGGCAAGGGAAAAAAGTCATAGTTCCCGTAAGGCTGGGACAGAGCCCAGGACAAACGTTCTTCCCTCTTTCCACACGCTTTTGCTTGATGATTTAGTTGCCACTCAGACGAGGAGCCATGTGGCACACAGAGACTCTTCCCTCCATCCCTCTGCAGGCACTCTGGGTGACCTCACCCCCTTTGTGCAAATGCAGGGAGCTTCTGTGGGTTTGGGAATGGGCACAGCCCCTTGGTAGCTATTTGAGTTGTGCTATTTTGTGTTTTCTGAACGTCTCAGTGACCTGTTCCTGACAAAGCACAGGAGCCCAATGTGCTGGGCTTGTGAACAAAACCGGGGGAGTATTTGACATGGATCTTTCCAATCCTACTCATCCGCTGAAGGTGGAGGAGGAAACGATCACGATGTTACAACTGCGAAAAGCACGTTGGGCTTGTATTGCATGTGCAGCACTGAGTGTGAATGCAGCTTGAAATGCACAAGCTGATGATGAATGGCTGGTTTCAGACAAGACCAATTTGATAATGATTTTTCCCCATTTTCTGTCATCTCTTTGTACAATCTGTACTGATGTGAAGCAGAGATATCAAATCCAAACTATTCTGAGTTTTTAATCACAATATATTCATTGACGAAGTGACATATCCAAATCCTTTTTTCTTCCTAAACTTTTCATAGCAATTATTTTAAGGCACAACTTACAATCTGTGCATCCTCAATTACTCCTACCTTGGATTTCCAAAGCAAGACCTTTGCTTATCCAAGGTTTGCTCTACTGCTAATGCATGATGCACTCTCGTCAATCAAATCTGAATTGTTACTGATGTAGGGCAGCAGTTATAAGAGCACACATTGATCCCAGATGTTTTAGTATGGCAGTACATAAGCCATATGAAATACAGTAATTCCTGCTAAAACAGTACTTATGTTCTTCAAAAGCAGTCCTGAATGGAAAACCAGCTGTGCTGAGGCAAATGCATTGGTGTACCAATAACTTCCGTACATGTTAAAGAATTCTCTAAATAACATAAGAATGAAATAAAACCAGAAGTAACCATTAAAAGATCACGAGGTATTTCGGTCTGCACAGAGCTTACCAGCAAGATTCCCTGTGTGTGCTGGACTGCAGAGCCAAAGCTGCAGGGCTGAAGTGACAAAACCATGCCCAGAGCCTTCATTACATTGGGTTTAACTTCAACCAACTTTGTGCTGCCACAAAACAGTCCTAAAGGGGGGTTCCCACCTCACACACACAGCTCTTACCTCACCACAGGCACATGGAGGATTCTGCTGCCCCATTGCCCCCAGATCCTGATGTCTCCTCATTGAAGAAGGGAACATCCACCCCGAAGCCCTCTCCTGCTTTGGCAGGCTCCACACCAATGGGCATGGAAGCGCTGCCAAGGTCATCTTCTTCTTCCCCAGGTGCAGGTCAATGAGGAAGGATGGCAATGGGCAGACATGCCATCAACGCCAACCCACTGCATGGGCCTCAGCATGCAATGCACTGGTCCAAACTACACCCAGCTTTCGGCAGGTCTCCCATATGGCACGGAGTGAGGTGCTGAGGAATCTGGTGCAAGTCCTGTTTATTTTTAACATGACTGTTCTGCAAAGATAATTGTGTCAAGCCGAAAGCACCACGGACTGGTTACACTTCTGCTCCAGTTACCATGGTTGCTAATACTTAAAAAACTGCCTGAGAAAGGAAGAGAATTGCTCTCCCCATGCTGGGAAATGTCTCCCTGGCTCATCCCTGCCCACATAGTGCAGCAATGCTGCTGGTCTCAGCTTCAGATGTGAAAGCTGGTGGAGATCTGCCTTGCTGGGGCTGGCAGATGGAGCTCAGTTTCTCGTGGGTTATCACCACAGTGGCAGAACAAATCTGCTCACCTCTCCTTTGGTTTTATGTAGGGAGAAATCTTCCTTGCTGTTGCTGCCAGTAGGCACCTGTGGGAGAAAAGAAAAGCACAATTACATCCCAAAGACTGTTCTGGAGTATTTGATGCAAGCCAGCAACGGTGTGCAGTGCCAGGTGGACAAGAACACACTGAAGCCTATAAGAGTAAACTGAGTGCAGACAAACCCCTGTTCCCATAAGTGCAGTGCTCCCCTGTGATAAGCAAACAACTCACCAAGGTTTTTAAAATAAAGTGGACAGAGAACAGGTATTTCTACATGTGATGGATTTGAGCCTGATAAAGGGAGTTATTTAATAGCATGAGCCTTTGCCTCAGTCCCGTTGCTAAGCAGGGGGAGGTTGGCAGCAGCATCTCCCTTCCCAGCAGCAGGGTCATGGCAGGACACGCCACGGGCTGCCCCATGCTGTGCCAGGGCTCCCATCATCATCAGCCTGGGTCTCACCCCCCAGCGCTGTGGTCTGTGCATGGACAGACCCGACCCACCTCCCTGGCAGGGGGCACCACCAGCAGCACATGAGAACCCCCCCGCTGCCGACCCCTACAGTATTCCCCAGAGCATCAAAATGCAATGAATCAAACCGGATCTGAAGGGACTCTTGACTCGAGGTCTGCTGCAAACCCTGCAGCAGGCTGATCTCGCCCTGGCTCTCTGCCTCTCTGCAGCCGTGTGATGCCTCCCTGAGTGCAAAGAACTAAAATGTCACACCAAAAAAAATACCTGAGCTCTGCGGAGTTTAAATTCACGATGAATTATGCATTATCAATCAGGCAAAACAATTAGCTGAAGCATTAAAGCTCTAAAATGGTTTCAGAATCAAAGGGACCTTGCTTCAATTTACCTTCATTTAGGAGACTCAAAATAGATTTTAGTGCCAGTTTAGCTCAATTTGCACCTTTTGCATTCACTTCCCTGAGCATGTCCAAGAAAGAGTTTCCCTTTGCCCATATGATGCCTTTCCTGGGATGTATAACTGGTGAGATCTCACCAGCAGCACCAGTTTGTACTGGTGTGAGGGTCTTTAAGCACAAGTCTGCTATGGGAAGCCTCGTTCTTCCCAGGCTGTGGGGGACCTGGGGCTCTGGTCAGTGTGGCAATGGTGCCCTGAGGAGCAGAGGAGGACCTGGGGCCTCATCCTGCAGCCTGCAGCCAGCTCCCGGGGTGTTTACTGTCACCACGAAGTGACAGGAATGGAACAAGGGCCAGAAACCGAGCAAGCCAACAAAACAAATCAGTGTTACTTGCCCACCCAACCGTCTGGTGAAACGCTCCGTGCTCCTCCACGGGAATTGCTTCTTTCATTGCTGACATGTCAAAGGAGGTTATTAACCACATCCATTTGTGCTGCAATGGAGTTTTCCTGTTTTCATAAAGAATGTTTTGACCAGCTTTTCCCAGGCACCCTGACATGTCATTCCCTGCAGGAATTCCTAGACCTAATTATTTAAATGCCCAAGCAACCATTTGGAAAGCACTGCTCTGCAAGCACTGTTATTTTAACTCCATTTTCTGGCCCATGGCTGACCAGAAGGCATCATTGCATGTGGTGAGCTGCAGGCACACCTGTGTTTAGACACTTGAATCCTACTGCCACAAAATAATTGATTGGAAAAGGTCTCAGCACGTATCCAAGACACTGCCACACATCCGTGCTACTCTCTGAGCCTCTGAAATGGATGCTTCTCAATGCTCCCATCCATCTGTCCCCAGGCTTCCCATTCCTGCTCTCTTTTCTTTACTGCCGCTGCAATGAGAAAACAATGTTCCCACCCCATGGTGTGAGCGGGTGCTCTGGGGTGGCAGCTCCCCTCCGAGCTAGACCCTCCAGTCCTGCAGCACAGTGTGCGAGGCGCTGCAGGGCTGCCTTGGAAGTGTTTTGTCCCTGTGCTCCTGAGAGATCAGCTGAGACTTCACAGTGGCTCCTTTCGGTTTCCTTTTCTGATCTGCCAGGGGAAAAAATGCAGTAAAAATACTTGGATCATTGATATTTCAGTGAAAAGGAGTCAGGGAATTAAGGCTCACCCGGCTCTGCTGTTTCCTGCTAAATGAGTGCTTGGTTTATTGCCACCTATTCATAAAGTTATCCATCATTCCTCACAGAGTTTGGTAGGAATTCATGTGAAAAGCCATTTCAATATTCACCTTTCATTACTCTCCTGTCTTTATGCCCATTCGGCCCCAGCTGCAGAAATAATACTGAGTGATGCCAGCATCAATGACCAGGCAGTGCTGTGGGATGAGGTGGCCGTGGCCACGGGACATGTGCCAGCAGGACACGTGCCAGCAGCTCCAGCAGAAGGCGAGGACATGAGGCAATGTCTCGTGTGTACGCATAATCTGCTCTGTCTCAATTACACAGTTCACAGGCAGCTAACGGCCCAGTAATGACATGGTGGAAAGAACTGGTGCCTGCTTACAGGCTGCTACAGCAGCAGAATGTCACATGGAGCCGGGAGCTGCGGTCTTGTCCTGGCTGGACTCGGTCACAAACACTCCCACCGGTGTCACTCATGGAAACCCCAAGAATGGTAGAAACACACAGGGGCAATGGCGTTTCCTCCCTCCTGGAACCGCGTGTCGATTCCCACATGCGCTGTGGCATAGCATGAGCCACACAGACCTGCTGCTCGGGTTGTTAATTTCCAGCCTGTCTGAGCAGAGGCCCCTTTCCTGAGAGGCTCCCTGGCCAAATGAGGGGGGAACAGGGACCCTGACATCTCTTTGAGATATAAAAAGCAAGTTATGAATAATGAGAAATTCCACTGGCAATGTGCATAATGTGCACAAGAAGCACGGGAGAAGGGAGGGCACTGGAGAGCCAGGTCACAGAAAGTGCTCCACATGCAGCATCTCTCAGGAGCAGATCACGTAGGATTTTAGTGAGGGCTCATAAATATTAATACATCACCTGCTTCAATTGCCTGCAGCTCGCAGGGGCTGTCATGCCCGGTGAGTGGGGTGACACAGAACGGGACCGCTCCTGACAAGCCTCCAGTGTTTACTTTCATGCTCTTTTGTAGGGTTGCATGGGCTTCTCCTTTAATTGGCACTCCAGGGTAAAGGCAGAGGTAACCTCATCATGGGCTGGAGAAGGTAAAGCTTCATAATCTATGTGCACCACATCCTCATGAGCTGAAAAGGGGATCTCAGGAAGGGATGCAGGTCTAAGTACGTGTGTCTGGATCTACAAGTGCTGTTGGCTACTCGAATTATTGAGGATTGCCAGCATATTACCTTGCAGTAAGTGCCTTCCTACACAGAGGAAAATGCAGCAGAAGCTGAATTTTGCTCAGTGTCAATACAGAATTTATTGCTGCCTTCATACCCCACAACACTCTGTTACCGGCCAGAGCCCACCCGGGGGCTACCCAGGTTACAGCTCATCCAAATGCGACTCTTCTGTAATAGAGAAATGACACTTTTAGGTAAAGGGCAATCCATTCAGCTCTGCACGCCTAAAAACCCCCAGGGCTCAAAAGTGAGCTACTGTGTTTCACCTGATCCTGAAACCTTTCTTCCCACAGGGCACCCAGACTGAATTCTGCCATGGAATGTGGAACAAGCCTGCCTGGGCAGCCCTCTCCTGTCTCTGACCTGGCACAGGCGTGCACACCATGCTGGGCTTCAGGGGCTGCTAAATGAGGATGGCACAGCTCGGGAGTTGAAAATACAAGAGAAAAATAGAGAATAGCCACAAAACATGTCAACTAAGCTCACAGTGGTTCTGTAGCCATGACTCACTCCATGAGATACTGCTGTGGTACAGCAGTAAACACACCCAACCATACCAACATTAAGGCATTTGCTTTTTAAGTCACCTCCAAGTCCTTCAGTGCAGAAAACTTGTATATAAATCACTGCTTTTCTCTAATACATCACTGCAGCACCTGCACCCCGAGGGCTCTGGCAGCCAGAGCAGGAGGGAGCTCGGTGGGACCGGCCTCTCGCAGGCGAAGGACAGAGACACCTGAAGGGACTTGCCAAGGTCACAGAGCCAGGCTGAGCTCCACGGAAACTCGCTCCAGCACCCGCTGACCCCAGAAAGAACGGACCCTGCTGCATCATGAGGAGCTGGAGCTTTGCAGTGCGGCACCGGTGCGAGCGGTTCAGAATAACCTGAGTCAGGAAGGGAGGAGAGAAGACACTGTGGGAAACGGGTATCTTGGTGATAACCTGACATCAGCTCATGTTCTGATAATCCCTGCTCCGTCCCTCTTTTTCCCCAAGGGCCCACATGCACCAGGGTGAACGTGGCAGTTCAGTACTGCAGCCTGTTACACAGATGTCTTGGGACCAGAATCCAGATGTTCTCACTCTCATCTTCTCTGCTTTGTTTCTGCCTTCCTGTTTCAGCCAGATGGACCTCAGCTATTCCTTGAAGCTGTATTCAGCTTCTGATGTATTTTCCATGAGTGAAAGGGGAACTTTTTTTTCCTTCCATCAGCAATTTTCTACAGTAAATAAGAAAAGGAAATGGAAAACCTTGTAGGAAGTCCCAGGCTGCCGAGGCTTTTTAAATGGGCTCAGAGCTCAGGCAAGAGGCAGATTAATCACAAAACAGACACGTTGAACCCGTGCAGAAGATGACATTTCAGGGTAGTGTAAGGAAGAAGGATTAATTGGCTGATGGGACTGGGAACAAAAGAAGCCTGAGCATGAACCACCAGGTACAGGAGAGTCGGGCTGTGACAGCACCGAGACTATTCAACAACTTTAAGCATGAACACTGTGATCTTATTCTAATGTGCTTGCAAGAAATCGCAGATGATTAATTGGATCATTTCCATATCCTGCTCCTAAGTGAGGTACTTCAGGGAACCTGTGTTTCTGTTGCTGCCTGACCTACACTCACAGGGTGCCAGCCACTCCAAAGAGGCTTCAACATGAAAAAGTGGAGTGATGAGCAGTACATATTAAACAGACAGACAAACCAGGTAACAGCCCCTGTGTCCCCTGAAAAATATCCCACTCCTCTGGTTAACACTTACAAAATGCATGGCATGGAAATATACCCCTCATCTAACCAAAATAAATAACCAGTCACATAACAGGTTGCTGTTGACAGCAAGCAGCACCTGCCAAAGACGCCGATGTCTTTTCATGCAGCGTTAGCACTCCAGGATGGTTAATCTTTGCTCAGTGGTCCTTTTATCCTAAAAATCCAGGAGATAAATCACAGTGCTTTCTGCATGGGGAAACCCACACATAACACCATGGCCATCAAACCAAGACTCAGATCCCTTTGTCAGTTCCCCCCTCTCATTTGCCACAAGTGCTGCAAGGTAGAGGCAGAAGAAGACAAGGAGGCAGAGCAAAGCTGCTGTGCCTTGGGCACACCTCGCTCCTCCAGCACCGTGCAGGTCTGTTCACTGAGCAGCTGGAGCCTTCCTAATGCTTCATTACCCCCGATTACCAGCGGTGGATCTCCTTGTGTATCTTCAGCCCCAAATATTAGTTTTCCTGGGGCTGGAAGCTGGCTCTCGGAGCACCTAAAAGCTGTTTTCCACATGTTCTGTTTCTACATAATTATAGTACCCATGAACAAGCAGAAGGAGGGGTTTCTCCTGGCTCAACCCAGGCAGGTAAGCACATGTTCGGTATCGGGCGCGGAGGCAAGCCGGCAGTGGGATTATACCTGGAGTGCGCTTAAACACCTCTTGTGTTGGGTAGCCTGCGTGTACAGTGCAGAGCTGCCTTCTCGTGGAGGTGTGTGGAGTCTCTGAGCCAGCCAGGAAGGATCGGAGCCTCAGGACTGGATCTGGAGACTGACCTGAAAGGGCTCAGCTTGTGTCGTTCTAAAAAGCTTCCCATCAGCCCATGACTTCATTTCAGTTTCCCAGCATCACTGAAGCTGCCATTGATTTACTGCTCAATTTCTGGGCAGTTTGGAGAGTGTTTCCCCAGCATAAATGCTATTTATTTGAAGTAGAAATTGAATCTGATGGGAAAATTTCTTTTAATTTGCAAAACCAGAGAAGGTAAAAGGGGCAGAGAGAAAACCCTCCTCCAACTGGCAAGTTTGTACATCACAATGGTGCAAAAGCAGTTCCTGTTCTGATTTAAAGCAAAAGCCAAAATACCTTTCCAACACATGGAAAGGACCTACCAGAGCTGCCCCAGTGTGGAGCATCATGGTCAGGATGTTCACAGAGCACATACTGATGGATGAGGGTACAGCTCAGTCAGGGGGTGGTACCACAGTTGGTACCATGTACTTGCAGTGCATGACTCCAAACAAACCTATGGAGACTTTGAAAAGCTTCACAGGTACAAACAGGTATTAAACCTAACTACGCAGTCTTTCTTTCTCTTTGCTGAATTTATTTGCCATTTACCCGTGTCTGCACATTTGCATTCCTTGTTCCTGCATTATGTTTGTAATGAATTTTCATTTGTACGTTGTAGAGAAACGTCTCTTTCTGTCATCACACAAATGCTGCTTCTTGTTCCCTCATGCACTAACTCAGAAGCAGACACTGTAATTTCCAAGTGTAAAAGAAAACGATGTTTTTGAAGGCTGCGTTCTCTGCAGAATAATTCAAAGTACGTCACGTTTCTTTCACTGCCAGAGCCTTGATCACTGGTTTCTTCTTTCTGCTAATCAGCTGTTACCAGTAACACTGAAATGTAGGTTCCTGGGTGAGCGTTACAAACCCAGAGAAATTGTGACCTGCATTTCCCTGGAGTTCCCTGCTGCCTGCCGTTCCCAGAGGAGGAGGACAGCGCTGGCTGCTTGAAAAACATGATGGGTGCAGGAGGGGCTGGTGCACATCAACCTGGAGCAATGTTTGTGTAGGAAACGCAGCAGCAGGACAGAGCTGGCCCTCAGTGACCAGCTCTGGATCCTGCTGTGCTGTGAATTGGGATGGCTCGCTCATCCAGAGCTAGGGCTGCTCTTCTGGACAGCTTCAGCCTCCCCAACTCAAGGTAGGACTAATTTTGAATAACAGGCTACACTGTTCTGTTATTGTAGGTTTTTGATTAACATGAGATATTACGCTACAGGGCCCTACAAGAAACCTGGAGAAGGGCTTTGGACAAGTGCCTGTAGGCACAGGCCAAGGGGAATGGCTTTAACCTGCCCGAGGGGAGACTGAGATGAGCTCTTAGGCAGAAGCTCTTCCCTGTGAGGGTGCTGAGGCGCTGGCACAGGGTGCCCAGAGAAGCTGTGGCTGCCCCATCCCTGGCAGTGCTCAAGGCCACGTTGGACACAGGGGCTTGGAGCAAGCTGCTCCAGTGGAAGGGGTCCCTGCCCATGGCAGGGGTTGGAGCTGGAGGAGCTTTGAGGTCCCTTCAACCCAAACCAGGCTGGGATTCTATGATTCTCTGCCCCACGCAGCCCCAAGGCTGTGGGACCCCATCATCCCCGCCTGGCTGCACATCGTGTCCCTGCCGCAACCAGAGCTCTGTGCCAGCCTCCACCAGCTCACGGGCTGCAATCAGGTTAGCTGCAATCCGGTGGACCAGATTTTGGTCACCTCAAAAACAACAACATTCCCCTGCTCCCCCTCCCAGCCCTCCCACACACACATCTGCCATGCTTTAGCTGCAAAATTAAATCCCCTTTTCACTCAGCTGGCAGGAGTCAGCCCATAACTCATGAGAACAACAGTGTGAAAACAAATTAACCCCTGCAGCGAAGCAGCAGAACTTGGAGGCAGGGGAGGCTGGAGGGTCTCTCCTACAAACCCCTCAGCTTCACCTGTGCTCCACACATCCCAGCACCACCCAGCACACACGGACTGCCTCATCTGAAATGGAATGTTTCCTGCCACAGGCTAGGCGAGACTTTGATCTTCCTGGAATGCCCCGAAATGCCAGCTCCGGTGTCACTTCTCGGTTGAACTGGCGCTTGGGTGAGTTTCCAGAGCAATAACACTCCCTTTCAGAAATTTAAGTTATTCCATCTTATTTAATTAACTGGTTTTGCTGACCCCCCTCTCTGTATTGTATTTCCACTTACCTTGTGCTTCATTAAACTTGCATGAAGCTATCCAGCCGTCAGTGCCTTGCACTCAGGATGCCAGGAACTGTTCTGACAACAGACTGGAAATCACCGTGTCAAGTAATAAGCAGCTTTTGCTGGGGTTATGAAGACACCTTTGTCCCATAAGGTGGTGCAATTAGCAGGGAAGCAGCCTAGATCCTGATAGCAAGAGAGAGAGAAGATGATAAACAGGGTTAAATCTGCTCAGGAGGGAAAGGGGCTGATGACAGCTCTGGGGCTGGCTGGAAAGGGAAGCAGCAGGCAAGGGGAACCGTGGCACAGCCACAGCAGGTTTAGCTCTGCACTGCTCTTTTAATCTCTGCACTGAACTGCAATCCGAGCAGCATAAAACATTTATAGATGCACCGTGCCTTCCCTATGGCACCGCGATAAAACACGCCCTCCTGCAAGTGTCCCCACACAGGTTTGATTACAGTTGTCAGCATCCGACTGGAATTATTACCTGGATAAAGTCCTCCTGAGCAGAGCCGCCAGCCCAGCCCAGGACCCCACAAGGGACTCGTCAATGTGCTTGAACACCATCACCTGTGCCCACATCTTTATCCCAAACAGGGATGTCAGAGAGATTTCTAGTCCATGGTGCAGGTGCTCCCTCAGGGATTAGCAAATGATGGGAAATGTGCAGCACTGCGTAGCTGCTGATGCATTCTGTGCACCACTCCCTTTTGTGAAAAACCCATCATTATTGGGCAAACTCAGCTCAGTAAAGCAGGGACTGGTGTGAGGAGGTTTAGCTGTGACGAGCCTGTTGCATCCCTAACATTTTGGGGGGAACAAAAAAATCTGATTTGAAGTGACTACGTTTTAGACGCTGTTGCTCCCTTCTGGTTTAAAGCAGCTCCAAGGAAAACCCAGAAGAAATTACGGTGTGATGAAACCTAAGTGGGATGCTCTGATTGAGAACTCCCATTCGTAACGCTGGATTCTGCGTCAGGAAAATTCTGAGTTTGAATTGTTCAGCGCAGCTGAGTGAGAGCAGGGCTGACATCTCCAGAACGTCCTGCCCATCTCTCCCGCCCACAGCCCGGAGCTGCTTCCAGGAATCTCTATAGGTTTATTTTTAGCTCCCCATTTTCACATAGATTCAAGTCCAGAGCATTTAAACTCACTCCCGCTTTAGGCAAACACGTTTGGTATTCCGCTCCGGAGCGGAGGGCACACAACAGCAGGCTCTCCAGCAGGTCCCTCTGCAGAGCTCTCCTGCAGAAGGTGACTTGCCCTGCGGCTGCCCTGCTCCATTTGCAGGCGGTAGCGGTCCCTCAGGGACACCGGCTGTAGGAACGGCTTAGGAACAAGGGTACAGCAATCCTGGGTGAAAGCCTGGCTCCACTGCAGCCATAGGAAACCCCTCAAACCCAGTGACTTTAATGGGCCTGGGATTTTGCTCTTCGCATTAGTAGGAGAAGATTAATTTGAACACGTAGATGTGAATATTAAAAATAGGGATGAGTTTTGAGCCCTTCCATAAAGCATTTTAAATGGCAAAACAAGCACACAGGCAAATCCTCCCTGGTGCACTTGCACCCAGCAAAACATGAGAGAGGACCAGCAGTCGGTGCCAGAACAAATTGGTACACAATCATCATCAACAGAAAGCATGCAGACCAACGGCACGCAGTGCCGGGAATGCAGAACGACAGATGAGTCCAACCCTGTTGCTGCTGAGCCAGGGGAGGATTAAATGACAGCCATGGCAGTGCTGTCGGAGCGGGCTGCAGGGCCCTGTCTCACACTGGCCAGCAGTGGAGAGCACGTGGAGATCCCTCCCCATTTCCCAGAGCCCCAGAAAAACTCAAGGGACAAAAAATTAGGAAAGCCACCCAAATGCCAGCAGCCAATGGCCGAGGAGCTGCCCCTCATCCGCTGTGCTACCTCGTGTACATCGGGCAGGATTTGGTTGGAGATTTGATCGTTTCCTATGCTCCAAATACAGCGAAGGGGGACCCCAGAACCTCTCGTGCATCAGCTCACTTGTGTTGTTTATTCAAAACACATCAGTCGGTGGCATTTCCTTCCATTTAGGGTTAATCGTGGAACACAGCACAATTTATGTGGCACCCCGCTCCCCTGCACACCACGCTTCAGATTCATAACATTCCCAAATTCTTGCAAATCAGTAAGATTCCAGCTCTGTTGCTCACACTTACAGCGATATCAGCAAACATCAGAGTATCTGAGAGCCCAGTCAGGACACTGTGAGGTTGGAGAAGGGAACCAGCGTTTGATGCTACACCTGGAGAAAGCTTTTTGCCAAGCAGCAGTTCCCAAAGGTGCAGCCGTCGGCTCCAGCTCTACCAGAGCAGCTGAACTCAAGGTTTGGTGAGCTGCTGCCATCAGAGCACAAAGACACACTCTCAAAACTGTTGAGAAATGCCACACGGTGAGATGCAGTTACCTGCTTTCATCCTCACCTTCGGACACTGCGGTGACTGCACCCAGTTCTACCCCTGAGCATTCTCCTGGAGGAATCAGATATTGCCCAAGCCCCCCCTTTTAAGCTTAAATGCTATCATAACCTTGCTTTTCTTTGTAATTAACTTACAACATTTAAATAAATGATCAAGTGAGTGTTTATGCAGAACTGAGGTCCCGCATGGACATCTCTGAGGGTGTTTGGGCTATTTCTCATGCCCAGAGCAGCAAGCATTGCTGTAAAGCCAAGTGTCCACAGGGGCAAGCATTGCACTGCCCTGGCAAGCCCTACATGAGCGTGGCAGCGGGTTGCTGCGGTGCATCAAGCGCCAGAGGCAGGACAACCCAGAGCATCATTCAGCAGAGCCCGTCCTGGCTTCCCTTTTAATCTATGTGAAAATTGGATTTATGGGAGAGGAGTAAGAGCTATCCGAACCCGGCCCATAAAACTGGGAGAATCATATTTTTCTCTCCAGCAAGCAACTTTTAACAGCTCTGCTGGGTGCTTATTTGCAGTCACCAGGCAAAAATTTTCTCTGCTGTTTACGACCCTTTTACTCATTTCTGTGGCAGAGGGGGGTGGGTTGGAGCACGCTGCCAGTGATGCTCTAGTTACCGGGTGTTATTTGCTCCAGGGACTCTTTTGATATGTAGTCCTCTGCTGTACTAATGTCCCCATTAGTCCTGATTGCCTCTGCGGGGGGTGGTAAAGACTTCTGTAACAATGTGCCTCTGAAAATCCTCCTTGAGCCTTTGATATCTTCTTTGTGACATTACCCTCATCTTGCACAAGACAACAGTTTGACTTTGAAATTATTGCAGTTCTGTTGCTGTCATTACTTTGTACTTTACTGTGTAGCTGGATGTTCCTTATGGGGATATCAAGGGGCTGCCAAAGAACCTCCCTTTCTGTGTTCCTCATGTGCTCCTGAGCCACGGAAGTGTGGTGGCTTTAGAGGCTGAACTGAAATGAATGAAGATTTCCTGGTGAAATTCCATAAACTTCCTGTTCATCGGCAGGATGGAAATAATAAAAAGATATTATTTTTTCTCTGGGAAACAACGTAGGACTGGAAATGAAAAACTGAAAATGAGGAGCTAAAAGGCCCTCTCACACCTCTGCTGCCTGGGGAGAGCAGCCCCTTTGTGAAAGGGCTTTATATCCCCTGCGATAGCATTTGCTTTAGAAGCGGGTCATAATGGCTGTAATTTTCATCAAGATTAGCCATAGAAAATAGACTTTAAAATACCCAATAAGGGAAGAAAACTTAAATGAACTTTTTTAATTTTGAAGATGACTGCAAAGGCCTGGGAGAATTCCGGGAGGATTCGGAGAAGCTGCAATGAGGCTTCTGCTGCTGTCACCAGCCGTGGACAGAGCTCCCAGCAACATCAACACTTGCCAGGAAAGAGGCACGCCAGGCTTGGATTTCACCGTTTCAGTTCTGCTGTGCTCCAGTCCTGAACTGTGATTCAGGCACCTTTGTGTAACGTGCAGTTCCTGGAGCCAGACAGCAATTTGCTGTTTCTGTCTCCAGCTCCTTTGGTTCAAAGATCACTAACGTTATTTCCCATTACAGCTCATGCCTTAAAAATACAAAGCAAGGGCAAGAGCAAAGCTTGAAAGACATCCCCATGCTGGAAAGCTCAGCAGCAAACACCACACAGACACAACAGAGTGCACAGGTACAAAACCAAGTAGAGGGTCACCTCCGTTGTCAGTTGTTAGCAGCATTCCAACACCTAAAAGGGCAATAAGAAAGCTGGAAGGGACTTTAGACAAGGGCCTGTAGGGACAGGACAAGGGGAATGGCTTTAACCTGCCAGAGGGGAGATTGAGGTTGGAACTGGATGAGCTTTAAGCTCTCTTCCAACCCAAACTATTCCATGACATATGTAACCCAAGGCATATCCAGCCCTGAGCCCATGCGGTTTCACCGTATCATCTGCAAGAAGCCCCATCACCACCATCAGGCACCTCTCCGTGCTGGAACCACACTTCCTGTCCCTGGGGTGAGCTGTGCACAAGAGAGGACCCAGAGAGGGACAATGGGGTGATCGAGATGCTCTTTGCTGCAAGTTGAGCCCACGTGGAGGTCCCAGGGGGAGAAAGGGCTTTTCCTGCATGAATTTGCTGTGCTGCTGGTGCTGTTGTGTTTGCATGTTTGCAGGATGCGGATAAGAAGGGCATCAAATTTGAATGTTATGCTAATAACATCTGTGTACTTAAATCAGCACTGAGCAGCTGGTACATTTAAAACAGCCCCCAGCATGTCTGAACACTCTGTAAATACAGAGTTACTATCTCCTGGGATCAATTTATCATTAATAAGTTATAAAAACAGGATTTGATGCACACTGAAATAAAAATCGTGTCCAAAAAAGCCTGTTCTTTACTTCCATTTTTTACTCATCTTAACCCTCTGGTGTGTGAGGCCCCCTGCCAGACGTTGAGTTGCACAGATGGACTTGGGATTGGCCTCATCCTGCCCAGGACATCTAAGCACAAAGCACATCATCCTGTGACTCCTGTGCAGCCAATGAGGAGATGCAGGCACCTGTAAACGGGATATGGGCCGTGACTTCTCAGCTCAGCGCCTGACACCTCAGTGTGCAGGTTAGGGCCTTGGTGTATGCTGCCAAGTGATTCACCTTTACTTAGCATGCCCAGCTTCACTAAATATGCTACAAGTACCTGCACGTCACCAACAGACTCCAGATAGCATCGGAACTTACTTTGAACACTTTGGGATGGCACCTATTGAGTTGTAAAAATTAATGATAATTACTGGGGTGAAATGAATCCCTTCTCCTCTTATGCTCTGAAATAATCTGTTGTGAGCAGGCACTGGACATACATATCCTGTACTGCGCTTCTTATGCCTCCTGGATCCACAGACTGGTGACTGCTTCATTAAACACATATTTTATGCATCCTATAAGCTCAGGGAAACTGTATAATTCAGGGTACCAGCCAAGGTGTGCAGGTGGCATTTTGATTGATGCTGTGTGTATCTGTAAAACTAAGATACGCCTCTGCTTATTTGGTTGTGGTTTTTTCTCCTGCTCATCTCTTCCTGGAACACTTTTATCTCACTCCAGTAATTGCCAGCAAAACTCACAAACAGTCAAGTCCCTGAGTAAACCTTATCAGCCATGTTACACTGAACAGCACTCCCCTCCACTTCCATATGGGTCTCATCACCAAAGGTAGTCACGGGTGTCCTTGTCCTACAGGATTTGGTGCACTGGAGACACGTCTGGCAGAGGGATCCCAGAGAAGGGATTGGATTGAGGTTTTATTATGGGCCTGAGCTGTGCATGCTAGGAAAGGCAAATGCAGATGGTAATTTGTAGTTTTGTCCAGCTCCACCCTGGCTGGAACTGAGAACTGAGACATGAGCCGCGCCAAAGCCCATTACATCGGTTTATGATCTTAAACAGCCCCAGGGACAGGGGCTGACAACCTCGGGAGCGTAAGATCAGCTGTGCAAAATGCCAGTGCCGCCCCGCACTGACTGAGCCAGCTGCGCAGCTGCGGAAGCTCTGCCTGGGAGGCCTGTGAGATCTCTATCAGGGCAATGCAAAGCGCGGTGCTGTTTGTCTGACTGACGGTTTCCCACTCCCCACACCACGGAACACCCAGCAGCCGTTCCTGTAAACCTGGAGGAAGCGGCCCTGGGCAGTTTGCTGCAGCAGCTGCTGTGATTGATGGGCTGGAAGCACTGTCCTGCCTGCTGGGGAGATGGGGAGAGGTTTGTTTGGGGGTTACCCTCGCTGGGGTTACGACTGACGGCGGGTTCCAGGCTGGTTGGTTTCTTAATATTCCTGTGTGAGATGCGAAAAGCTGCATTAACCCTACATGGGAACGGGGGCAGGGTCCCTGGTTTAGCACCCGGAAGCCATGCTGAACAGAGAACATCTCCCTTGCCTTGCACCAGCCGCTCTCCCCTTCCCAGCAGGTGGCTTCAGTTAATGAGTCCCTAGCAAGAGCCATGCCCATCCGCTGAGCCTTGCTCTCACCACTGCAGGTTGGCCTCTCCTGATCTAAGCTCCCTACATTGCACCAGGGCTTTAAGGATTCTTGCTGACATGCAGGGACATCCCTAAGATGCGCACACTGAGAGAACCTCGGGGTGAAAACGAACAGGATAGAGAAGACGATGCGTAACTACTGGGTACATGCAGAAGAACAAGTTTTCTCTCTGGTGTGTCCCTTCCCTCAGCACCAACATTCCACATACCTTGTAAAATCCTGCTTTGGTCTGTAAACTCCTGTGAGGTTTTTGCTGGTCCTCCATCACTCAGGTTGTGCTCTCGTGGTTACCAGAGCCCCCAGCAGGTACAAGTAGTGCTGCTGCAGCTGCTGAAACAGCAGGAATTCTTCGCAGAACCATGGGAAGGAGGGTGGAAAATCAGCCTTTCTCCAGCAAGCTGTGAATGTGTAAATAAGCACGAGCAGTGTAATTATTTTTTCCAAGCAACACAAACAGGACATTTTCCTGGCCAGAAACAAGAAAAATTTCTTGATGCACTGGGATGCCGTATACAGGAGAGTTGTTGCGTATTCAATTGCATTTAATATTTGTTGTCTCTCCTGCTCTCTCAGCTGAGCAGTGCAGCATTAGGTGGTCATCTTGATTTTTGTACTTTCTTAATCACATTTGTAAGAGATTTACCCAGTGCTCAGCCCTTCATTGACAAAACCCGACTAAACCCATCATTAGGTCGGTATCAAATGAGAGATCAACTGAAGTGATCAATAACAACCAAGTATAAAAGTAAAAGCTATTTTTCCTCCATGCACCATGCAGTTTTCTGCTAACCTGCGCATAACCCCTTCACTTCACACTGGTTCTGCTGGAGATGTGCGACTTTCTGCAAGGTTAGGAGATGGTTTACCTCGACAGCCGATGGGAATGAGTCCAAACCCCCCAGCCAGTAACCTTACCCTTATCCCTTCTGTCCACAGGATATTTCTGGGCTGCTCCTCAGTCGTGTCTGGCTGAACCTGCTGGATTCAGTCCATGGTGGCAGAGAGCTGCTGGGGACTGGCGCTGGCAGGTAGCTGCCATCTGAGGCACCGTCTGCCCAAGCAAGAAAACGGTTAACCAGGAAGCACATCCTGTGGCTCACAGAGCCGTGCTTTGACTGAAGAACTTGACCCAAACATTAATGAGAATCAACCAAAACACATCTGTAGTTCTTGTGAGGTATAAAAATCCCAGGTTACAACAGAACAAATCACTAGGTAAAACAAACGAGGATTGCTAACCAGTGCTTTGTGAGATAACCAAGACTTTAACTGGGTTTGGGCAGTTTTGCCAAATGCTTTAAATTTAGGAACTAATTTGCATGTTGCCCATGAACAAACATTTGTGCCCATTTGGTTATTTCTTGCATTTCTGAGCAGGCAGTTCCGGCTCAGGGCACCAGTGTCAGCCAAGAGCCGCCTCCTGCAGTTACCGAGATGGTTAAATCTGGTGACAAAGAATGTGCAGAGGAAACAAAACCATTACGTATGTAAATAACAGTCACTAACCCCTCTAATGTTTCTGCTCCAGGAATACGCTGTGCGGGCTGTGAGGCAAGATAATGCTCCCTGCGCCAGAGCAGATAGAGCCGGGCGGCAGCTTGTCCTTTTCTGGGAGAAGCAAGGGTGAACGGAAACCCAACACGTGAGCTGTTTGGGAGATGCTGGTGAGATTGTCTTGGTCTGAATGGAAGCGGTCAGAAAGGAAACAGTGCTCTTCCAGGTTTGCCTGGTGCCACTTGGGATGCTTGTGGGGCTTTTTCTGCTTCTGAGGAATTTTGTGCTTTGTCAACTGCAACTCAACCTCCTTCCACCGCCACTGCTGCAGCACCCGCTTTTACATTTAGATTCTTGGCACAAGGAACAAATAGAGCCCATTGTCACTGGCGCTCGCTGCCTTCTGCTGTGGCACCGTGATCATTACAAGAGCGATTTACATTTCAGATTCTGTAACTGAAATGCAGAAGCCACGAGGTAAGAGCTGATTGATGAGGAACTGTCACCTGCGCATCTTGATCTCTGTGTATCCGCAGCACCAGGTAGTCATCTTCCCTGCCCCAGTGCTCAGCAGGCTCTTGCTGCTCCCCCTGAGCGTAACAGTCTAAGGAGGAAAGAATGAGCAATAAATAGATACGGTTACATACAGCCTAATCCAGTTTCAGGATATGAAACGACCCTGCCAGACACAGCAGCCTTGCTCTACACCACCTTCCTCCATAAAAATAGAAAAGGGGGTTCTGAAGGTCAGTGGCAGGAACCAGCTGATGACCAGCTACCAAGCACTGAAGTTTTATTGTATTAAGATACCCCTGCATAAACCCCCCACCCCGGGGTCAATAATCCCATCTCTCACACCCCAGCCCAGCCTCTTCCAAATGAGCAGATGAAATGGGACTTTGTTCTGCAGCACTTGGGCAAATGCAGAGCTTGAGACACTGTCCTGCCTCCCAAATCCTCCTCCAGCCCAGCATCCTCATTCCTTCCCTGACAAATTCACTGCGCTTTTAAGGTTCTCCAGATTTAACTCAATCACATTCCCAGGGGCTGGCAGGAGAGAACAGAAATAAAGAAATCAATCACTCGATGAGAGACAGGCTTGAAGCGGCGCCAGAACTAATAGTGCCGAATTCGGGAAGGGAGCATTTCAATATTTATTAGGAAGGGATGCTTCTGGCAGATGTTTACAAGTCTGTTTCTCCCAGCGCTGCCTTCAGAAGGCTCCCGCACCTTCCCCAAGGCGCAGAGGGCATTCCTTTGCAGAGCTACCTCCACAAGCCTTGCAGAGGATTGCTATCACCACTTCTGCAGTGAGATCAACCAGAGGCAGGCTGGCGCTCAGCCCATTTCAACTCCTTTTTGCCCTTCATGGACTTCGGGGTTCCACCCTTCCTCATTGCAGGTGACTACATTTTCATTGTTGAACTGCACTCAGTCACATAAAAATGACTGAGGGCAACAGGTAACCATTCATTACCATGGGAATGTGGGTTTCCTGCGCAGATAATTCAGAATTGCTTCAAACAGCACATCAGGTTAAGCTGTTTAATGTGGAAATGAACAGGTCAGCCCCTGGAAAGCAGGACTGAAGGTGCAACGTTGCTTAAACAAGTGCCAGCCACTTGTTTAATCTACTTGTGACAGCATTAAATATAACTTAAAATACTCGACTGTTTGTTCAATCTGGTGTCTTTAACCTCCAGTTCAATTTTAACTGTCCAAATTACTGAAGCAGGCAGTTCAGACTCAGAAACATTCATTTTTCCATCCAATCTTGGTTACCTCTTTGAGAAGCTTCTTTCAGACTTCATTAAAATCTATACACCAAAATTACCATTTTCCCCATGGAAAGCAACACCAGTGTAAATAAAACAAGTGGCAGCCCTGCCTTTCCAGCACTGTACTGAACAGATTGACTCACATTAACCAGTTCAAGGATAATTCCACTCACCCATCAGAATGGGAACAACTCACCCTCTAACCACGGTGAAGCACCACAGTGGAGCAGTGCTATGGGTTAGCATGGTGTGCTGGTCATCCCCATCTCCATGCCCATCCTGCTCCCACACTGGGTACCTTCAAGCTCCCATCCACTGACTCGAGTCTTATCCCATGGGATGGGTGTACATAATGTGTCTTAATGGCAGCACAAAAGGATAAACTATCACCTTGGGCTAGGAGAAAACATCCAGCCACCCCAGCATGAAGACACCATGTCCTCCAGCCTCTGAGTGCACAGCATACAGTTTTGTATCTGGATACTGATCCAGATATAAAACTACACCTAGATAACCTTTTCTTGAGCTAAACATACTCACCAGAAATCAAATTGGAACAAAAAGTGCATCTTCTAACATACCATGAAGAGGGAAGGAGGTCCATGGAGGAAAGGCTGGGCAGCTGCCAGAATAGTAGGCAGGGTACTGGGAAGCACTGGGCACTAGTGCTAGTTCCCACTTATCTCTGGTGCTCCATCAGTGGTTTTCTTGACCTTCAGATAAAAACAAAGTAGTTTGATAAATAGAAGCACATGGTTTTGGCTCAGAGAAATAGCCAGAATAATTGCTTGGATCAAGAAGAGATAGCCGAAACTGCTTTCAACTAATCCCTGCCTCTTTGTTGTTAGAAAAGGAAATCGTGGACAAGGGGCTACGGGTGCAAGCTGCATGGGGAGAAACTTCAAATAAATTTCAGGAAGAGCTTTTCTTCCCATGAGAACAGTCGGTCACTGGAACAACTGCTCAGGGACTCTGTGGAGTCCCCAGCTGGCAGGGCATTGGAACTGGATGAGCTATAAGGGCCCTTCCAACCCAGAGCAGTCTGTGAGTTTATATTCTTGACAGGGCTGGTTTTGACATTTGGGTCTGGTAGAGCTCTTTAAAGCTCTATTTTTGAGCAGTGCCTCCAATCCCAAGGTGCTTACCACGCTGGACTTGGCACTCAGTGGAAGCCCCAAACCACAAAGCCTGACCACAGGGCTGGACCACATCTACTCGTACCCCCAGAGGAGGTGGAAAGACATCCCTTCAAGCCCCGAGGTGCTGCTGGGAGCTGCTGCCCATGTTCCTGCATCACTGGCCTCTTGCTCCAGCTACACTGGAGAGGAGAACCCCAGCAAAAGGCGTAACCCCTGTCATGTAGCTGCAGTTCATTAAACAGCCAGATGTGCCCAACGTCAGGTTCCTACAGTCTATTCCATTATGGATTAAGTGGAGTCACTGAAGAAAATCATTAAGACCGTTTTGGTGTCACATCACTTCCAAATGATTTCCTGGAGTGTTTCCCCCCGGCACGGCTGGACCTGGTCACATCTGCAGCAGCCCCTCCGCTCACCCACCGAAATCCAAATTCAAGCTGAATTTCTCATTTCCCCTGGGAACCCTAAATCAGTGCTTTTCATCACAAATCGTTTCTAAGTGCCATCTCCCAAACAGGCATTTTAGTTTAAAAGCTGGAAACAAAAAGATGTCAATTCAAATGTTAACCCACAGTGAAAGAAAACACTGTCTCCAATATATCTTATGATCGTTCATTCATAACACTGAAATTTGAGTTCCAGCATCCATCAAAACAGCTTTTGAAATGCTGACTTGGAAGAAAAGTTTTAGTTCTGAATGGAGTCACCGAAGACCTAATGTTCAGGATACTGAATTAACACAGTGACTGCCTTTGGGAAAATGGTCTCAATGACTGGTAGAAAAAGAGTGAACATTAAGAAACCAAGAATTAACAGAGTACTTCTGTTGAAAACTAATTCCAGAGCAGACATGTTCCTATCTGGGCATAGGTGCGATTGTGCAAACCATTGTTTCGTCCAGCTTTTCTCTTGTGTGGAGAGAAAAAGTAAGCAGTTTAATCCCATTTATCCTCAGTTTCAGTGTTCAGAGCTGGATAATTAACACTGTTATATATAGCCCTCTATTTATTGGCTAAACATTAGTGTGTGAACTGGCATACTCACATGTATTGCATATCCATATGCAGACATATGGGAACGTGCAGTAAACGAAGCGTCAATCAGCTTAACATGGAAGCTGCAATGAAATTCCTGTACGTCAAATATAAAACCATTAATAAAAAGACAAGAAACGAGTCAGAGTTTAATATCAATGCCCTGAGTGCCCACAAAAAGGAAGTGTCCATTAAACCCAGCTTCATCACCATTTCTTATCAGCTGTGCTTGGTCTCAGCCAGCAGCTATTCCATTTTAAACCTGTATTTCTATCATTCTGTTGAGCACTTTTATACATTCTAAACCCACTAAGCCTTATAGCGCAAGCTCACTATGAGACAGGGCTCCAGATGTTTGCAGCAGGCTGCTTGTGTAAGAACTCACATTAAGCAGAACCATTTTAAGGGCGTATTCCAGCAGCGGGTTGAGGCACTGTTGTATTTCTTTACCTAAACACAGATTTTAAGGATACACACCCAGGCCCATGTGGATATGCACCACCTAAAACTGAAAGGTGTTTCTAAATAGAACAATATTACTGAAAGTGGAACCTGCCCGAATCACCCTGGCTGACTTCTGCTGGGGACCTGGCTTTGTGGAAAAACTCCCTTCACATCCCTTATATCCAGGGCATTAAATCAGTGCAAAGCTTTCTGCAAAGATCATGAGTTATTACATTTCACAAAGGACTAATGACAACCAAGTGTTGTGAATTTTAGACTTCATAAAATCTCTATAAAAGGGACAAGTTGGCAAACACTCTGATGGGAGTAGAAGGGAAGATAAAAGCTAAAAATCCCAACACACATGGGAATGATGACGTGCAACCAGCTCACACACGGTATCTGAAACAGCAGTCCCGGCTCACAGGTAGGCTGCTATCACATTTCACATGGGTATCACAGCAGTGCCCTGAGAGTAAGAGCACAGCCCTGCCCTCGGCAACCTTTCTTCAGGAAGCACTGCTGGGGCCTGACTTACAGGGGAATGAGCACAGAATCGTGACGGTTTGTACAGAAACCAGAGGTCACAGTTTCACATTCTGTCAAGGCATTTCCAGTCACCTCCCAGCTCCCTGGGGACGCTGTCCAGCTCCAGCTCCAGCTCCAGCTCCGGATCAAGGACTCTGTGTTGTGCTCAAGTGCTCCCTCGGTCCAGCCTGCATGACACGATGCAGACGCACATGGGGACATCTCCTTTTCGCAACTCTAAAGTCATTTAAGCAGTCTTAATACAACCCCAATAATTACAGGTAAAAATAGATCCCCTTTGGAAAGGGGACACAGCTGGAACGGTTTCTGGTAATTTATTCTGAAACTGAAGCAGAAGGAAGCTCTGGCCTCTGCATGGCCTCAGCTGCTGCGCCTGACTTCACAGTCCTGAAAATTCATAATTCCAGCCAGTTTCTGTGGGGACAAAGCACTTGCAGACCGTGATCAGGCCTGAGGGAAAGCAGAACTGAGCTCACAGTCAGGGCGATCCTCACTGGCTCTGGTTTCTTTGGGAGGTGAACGCTGCTGTCATTACACCAACACCCCTGGAGCAGCTCTTGGCTTGTGCACATGTAAGCAAGAAGAACGTACAAGCTGGTTAACACAGTCTGAGTCAGAAGCTGTATCCTGGATCTTTGGCAGACGTTTTTCTTTCTTTTAAGGGAGCTGTGGGTCTATGCAGTGATGCTTGTTTGGAGAATTTTGACGTATGAGAAAGGAAACACGTGAATTATGAGATTAACAAATAGGAAAATCAATATGGTTAATGCAAGAGTCCTTCCTCCTGCCAATTTTAATAGGGGATAAATATTCACAGAGG